TAATAACTTGTTGATTTACTTTTTCCCACCTTCCTCAATTCATTACTATAATTTATCTTTGTGTTGAAAGAGTGAACATGACAGTCTTCATTGCATCCAGATATTAACTTTGTCCCTTTTACCTTCAGTGGTCTGTGATAAAATATTAGCTATCAGCATGGAAGAAAACACAATAGATTGTACTTGCTGATGAATGAAATGAATGTGATGGTGTCATCTTTTCTGAGTAATCTGTATGATTGAAACATTTTTAAATGTGGAAAGTGCCATCAAAAGTGCATCTGTAAAAATGGCCTGGTGTCACCATCAGCATCCGCTCTTGGCTGATTCTTGTGAGGTGGAGGTCAGACATGGCTCTACCCTCCAAGCTGCCCTACCAATTCTGACATCAACTGTTCACCAAGTGGCCGCCACACTCAATAATGAAACCTAGCAAAATATTCATGATTGTGGGGTTTCTTAGGTAAGTTAAACAGGGTATGATTCAGGATTAGGAAACAGCCCTCTGGGTAAGGAAGGATCAGGCCTTGTTAGTTTTGCCTGCAGGTATGCCTTTCTCTGGCCCTTGGCCTCTGAGGCACAGTGGCCCCTGGTTCTCTGCCCTACTTGGGCAAGCATTACAAAGCTCTTTTGTTGTTAAGTGCCTTTGAGTCATTGTGACTCATAGCTTCCCTGTGTAGGGTTTCTGAGGTGCAGTTGGTAAGCTTCAACCACCAGCCTTACAGTTTAAACCTACTCTGCATTCCAGTGCATTAACCTGCAGCACCACACTAGGACTCCACAGAGTTCTTTAGTGCTGCTGATAAATTCCCAAAGGAACCCCTATTCTGCAGCCACTTTCCTGCCGGAAGATGCCCAGTGTTACTCAGTGGCCCAGGAAGCCCACTGTTGTCTCATACTCTCAGTGCTGCTGCTTCTGCAGCCACATCTGCAGGGTCTAAAGGACATGTGCTGCTCCCGGCTTTTCTTTCTGGAAGCTTGTGAAATCCCAAGTTCTTGCCTCTGAGATGGCTCACTTTAGAACCTGTGGATGATGAAACCATGTAATCCCATTAGAGTCCCACATACCGTATTTGCATGCTCCCACTCATTCATTATATGAGCCCTCATACAGTCCTAGTGTGGCGCTGTGGGCTAATACATCAGACTGCAAAGTCATTTGAACTGCAGGGTTGGTGGTTCAAGCTCAGCACCTGCTCCTTGGAAACCCTATACAGGGTCGCTATGGGTTGGAATCGACTACACGACACTTAACAACAACAGTAGCACAGTGGGTTACATATTGGGCTGTTCAAATCCACCACCTAGTCCATGAGAGAAAGATGAGGCTTTCTGCTCTCATAAAATGTATAACCTTGGAAAGCTTGTACAGGGTTGCTATGAGTTAGAACCAACTTGATGGTATACCACCACCACCACTACCCATTCATTGGTGGGAGGTGCAAAGACTGTGGCTGTAAGAGCTATACTTAATAAATTCACTGCACCACAGTATCTCTGGTGCATAGTGTGTTAGGATATCAAATCCATCAGCCATTTTGCTGGAGAAAGATGAGGCTGCGTTCTCCCATTAATATTTACAGTTGGAATCAACTTGATGGTAGTGGGGGTTTTTTTTTGTTGTTTTTAAGGAGGGGAACAGAGGGGTTAGTTAAAAAGTCATTAAAATAATCTTGCTTTTAAAAATATGGTATGGTAAATCTCCTGTTACCTAGTGGGGAACCTTTGTAGTATATGCCCAAGTAAGTTGTTGGTTGGTCAGTCAACACTGCCCTTTTCCCAGACCTTTTCAAACATTACTGCTTCAAGATATCCATCCCTTTAGACATGACTTACCTGGTTTTCCTTTTCTACTTTAAAACTCTTCACTTATCTACTTTTACATGAAGACCTGTATCTTCACCAAGATAATTTTCAAACAGTTTTGAAGTGTTTTTAGTGAAAAGCATTTCATAACCTACTACTACAAGAAAGTACAACATAACCTAATGATGTAAGAAAAACTCTCTTTCTTGGCTGTTACGCATTTTTTAGGAAACACTGCTCTAGAAAATGGTTTCTTGAACCGCAAAATCAAGACAATTGAAATTTGGTTTTAAAGTGTTTGTTTTTATTCTTAATTCAGAATGTTTTAGTTGTTTTCATGTAATGTTAGAGCTAAAAAGGGACTAGAGATAATGTTTAACTTACTTTACTTTAAAAGTCACGTAGAAAATTTTGCATAGTTAGCTTAAAGGTAGAATTGTTTTCACTACCCATCTCTCTTGATTTGTAGGATATTGCTCTGTTGTAATAATTATATTATCTTTATTTTACTTACCCTTTTTCATTTATTCTTAATTTTATCCAACTTGGTTATCTTTGGTAGCACAGTGGTTACGAATTGGGCTGCTAACCTCAAGGTTAGCAATTTGAAACTACCAGCTGTTCCATGGGACAAAGATGAGGCTTTCTGCTCCCCTAAAGATTTACAGCCTCAGAAACCCTGTATAGGGTCACTATGAGTTGGAACTGACTCCACGGCACATAATCACCACCACCACTTTGTACCACTTTGGATTCTTGGTGTGGTGCTGTAGGAGCAGCACTGGACTGTGAATCACAGGTGGAGAGTTCAAATCCACTAGCTGTTCCTCAGAAACCATATGCATGGTCCGTACAAGTAGGAACTGGCTCGACAGTGCTTAACAACAAAAATAAAAAAAAGTACCATAATGAAGATCCCAGGATCATCAAGAAAAAAGAGCATGAGTGAAGCATGAGAGACCAGTAACAGCAGAGGTAATGGAAGAGGTGGTGGCATGGAGAGACAAAATAGCTTCAGGCTCTAGATCCATGGACTGAGTAAAGGCTGAAGCCAAGGGATCACATGACTGAGAGGCTGAAGACATGAGTTAGATGTGCCTGCACTATGGCAGGCAAGGGCTTTCCTTTCTGGGGAACTGCTGCATCCTGAATTTGTTTTAATTCTGAATTGTACTCTGTTAACATTGCTAATAAAGTCCTGAATCATATCACGGTCTGTCTCTTCTTTGAATTATGACCTTCCATTGCACTCAAACTTGCTAAATTTCTTACCATATTAGTATTGATCACTAAAGGAAAGAAGAGTGATGAAAATTGAAAGCTCCTGTAATCAATTAGTCAATTGGACTAATCGAACATGTAAACGTAAGTCTCCATGACCCTGATACCAGAACTAGCCTGGTTACCCCTACCAACTCTTCTGAAAGGAATCACATTAGAAGGTTCTGGACAGAGTTGGAGAAAATGGGTAACAAAGTTCAAAATTTAACAAAAAAGACCAGGATTTCTGATAAAAAAAAAAAGACTAGAGAGAGGAAACTACTGACCTCACAATCGTGGCTTAATTTTCAGCCAATGTTTAAATGTGAGTATATAGGAGAACAACAACAATAGTAAGGTATGCTCACCATGGACTGGTCAATCATTCAAAATCCAAAGGGCAGCATTCACATAGGAAAAAGTTCAGAAGGGTTGGGTGATGGTGGTAGTGGTGATGTGCCGTGGAGTCGCTTCCAACTCAAAGCAACCCTGTATGAGGTTTCTGAGGCTGTAAATCTTTACGGGAGCAGAAAGCCTCATCTTTCTCCCTCAGAACTGCTGGTAGTTTTGAACTGCAGACCTTGAGGTTAGCAGCCTGACTCGTAATCACTACGCTGCCAGAGCTCCTTGAAGGGCTGGCTGAGAAGGAGGGTGAGATGTAAACAAGAATCACAGGGAGGAAATAGACTAATTATTGTTACATGGAGGGGTTTACAATCATTGAAATGGAATGAAGAGTATGATTTTTTTTTTAATGTAAAACTGATCGTTTGCTCTGTAAAGCTTCACTCAATTAAAAATAAATGGTTAAAAAAAAAAAAAAAGATGACTATGAGATTGTCTTGCCTTCAGGAATTTCCTATGTGCTCTGCTTTATACAACAGAATAACAAAACCCTTAATATCAAGCATCTCCTGTTTATATTTTAATCTCACAGCTATCTGATGATTTAGGTAGTCAAATGTGAACAGGGAATTTCTGTTTAAGGCTACAAGACACTTCCATTTTCTGCTTCATAGAGCTTTTGATTCTGAATATTTCTAAAATTTTAAAAATATTAACTATATTTAAAAATAGTAAGATTATTTTGACTTCAACTTTATTTCAAAATTTGTTTCTTCTGATAGTAAATAATGCCTTTATTCTGAGATTCTTTTTCAGGTTATTTCTATTTGCTGCGTTTTATGTCTTCTATATAAATAAAGACGATTTATTGTATTTTGTGTCTCAAAAAAAAAAACCAATTTTATTATGTTAATAATAATTTACTAGTGTGATTTTCATTATTAGAGGATGAATCCAAAATATGAAAAAGTCCATGTCCCTTAGTAATTTTCCGTTTTACTGACAACCAAGCATAATACCGAAAAAATGGATATGCATTACTGTTAAACAAAATAATGGTTAAGCCTATGAATAAATGTTTAAAAATATCTAAGAAATGATAAATAGTTTTGTTTGATATTCAAAAGTAACAGTACATTTTCTTATACATTATTCAATTGGTATCTACTTTTTTCATCAGTTTAAGTGGGTAATAGCTATCGTATTTATGTGTACATAAATTAACATGTAAGTTTTCATTTGCTATGACAATAGATTTGAGTTAAAATATTTGGATTGCTATTACTACAATTGCTTTAAAATATAACTGATCAAAATATATTATAAATTCAATTGTTAAACTAAAAATATGAGAAACACCTTCTTAGTGAGGTTGATCTATTTTTATATTAGTAGAGAGATGTGGTTTATTGCTAAAATAAAAACAAATCAGCATTGAATTCTTAAAAAAAAATTACTTGCTTCACAGAATACCCACAGGAATCTTGGTGACTGGTTTATAGAGATACTTTTTGCATTGTATCCCTTGTGTAGTCAGTCGTTGAGATAACATGCATTTTAAATAACTTTTTTTTTTTTTTTAATAAAAGTGGTGCTGATGACTCCTTGATGATCATTCCTTGGCATGAACATAAACACCGGGATAAAGATTGGTGTGAAGAGTCCAAGTGCAAGTAAGTATGATCAGTTGGAGGCATCCTCAGCTCTTGGTGCAATGAATGAATACATGACTCTGTGACAGTGGTGTATTCAGTGTGACTTCTTACTTGATGCTGGTCCCTGATGTTGAAAATTTGTGTGAAGTTTTGAAAAAAATATCCTTAGTTTAATTATGTTAAATAGGTCTACTGGAAAATATCAAAATGCTATTAAGGAATTCTTTTAAAAATTGCTGTTATACAATAACTCTTCTTTTTCAGATAATCCCTTTTGAAGTTTGACATACACAGTTGGATTTTCAAAATTGTAATCATGATGTGCATACGACTTTGCTCTTGATTTAGTTTTGGCATTCATGTTTATAAGATCTAGCCTTGAGAATCCTGGGATGGCATTGCAGGCAGGATAAGCTGTAGGATAAGCACTAGACTGCTAACCCCAAGGTTGGTGGTTTAAAAATACCAACCACTCCTCAGAAACCCTATACAAGGTCACCATGAGTTGGAACTGGCTCAGTGACATGCAACAACAATAAGCCTTGAGAAGCCTTAGAACTTGGAGCCATCAAATACTGCAAAAGGGGTGAAGGAGGAACTTGCTCATATGCAAGTGTAGGCTAAATGCGAAGAAAGTTAAGACAACTCCATGAAAGCCAAACTATGATGTTGAGTATAGTCCACCCAAGTTTAGGGATCATTTCCAGAACACATTTGATCCATTATCATTAATGATCAAAAACCAGAAGAGTTGTGGGATGACATCATACATGAAGAAAGCAAAAGGTCATTAAAAGGACGGAAAAAAAAAAAAAAAAGGAAACACCAGTGTGGATGTCAGAGAGACATTGAAACTTGCTCTTGTGCTTAGAGAAACTAAACCAAGTGGAAGAAATGATGACATAAAGGAGTTGATCAGAAAAATTCAAAGGGCAGCTCAAGAAGAGAAAGTCAAATAGAATGAAATGTACGAAGACTTGGAGTTAGAGTTAGAAAACCCATAGGGAAGAGCATGCTCAGCATTTCTAAAGCTGAAAGAAATGAAAAAATTTAAACTTCAGGTTGCAATATTGAAGGATTCTATTGACAAAATATTGAATGATGCTGGAAACATAGAAGATAGAAGGACTACACAGGGTTACTGTACCAAAAAGAATTGGTTGATGTTCAGTTATTTCTAGAGGTATGAGCAAGTTTTAGAGTCTGTTCTGACAATGATTATGGTTGTTTCTTTTTTCCCTGTCTTTTTAATGACCTTTTGTTTTTTTCTTATATAATGTTGTACAGGGTCGCTATGGGTCGGAACCGACTCGGCGGCACTTAACAACAACAACAATGTTGTTCATGTCATCCCACAACTCTTCTGGTCTTTGGCCATTAGTGCATGAAATATGTTTTTGAGATGGTTTCTAAGTTCAAATGGGATATAGTTAAGGCCCTGGTGTGATGTTGTTGGATAAGTCATCACTGAACAGATACAACATTGCTAGATCTTCTAGAGCATTTGGAAGTTAGCAGTGGATGCCTATAAACAAGTGGAAGAGAGAAAGGGACAATAGGCAGTGACTCATTGTAGAACAAAAGTTGTCAAAGAAGATTACTATGTTTGCATGGGTCTGCACTGTACCCAATGACTAATTCTCCATTCCCTTCCACCCCTGGTAACCATCATAGAAAATTTATTATAGAATGGAAACCTTTTCTTAAACTTTTTCCAGTTGTGGCCTCATATAATATCTGTCTCTTTCTCTCAGCAAAATGCTCTCTAGGTTTTTCCATATTATGTGGTGTTTTGCAGATTCATCATTATTTTTCCATGTTGCATAATGTTACATTGTGTATATATGCCAGAGTTTATTCAACCAGTCATCTGCTGCTGGTTATGTAAGCTTTGTCTTGCTATTGTGAATAATGCTGCAATGAACATGGGTGTGCAATTAAAGAAGGAAGAGGAGTACTTTCAGCAGTAGGTGATACTCATGTAGTCATATTAATGTTGATAGTTATTGACTTAATCCAAATTGTGATATATCTGAAATAGGTGGAAGAAGTGTAGGGGAAGTAGGGTGGCTGTAGCGTAAACTTCTAAGTAGTATCTGAAGTATATAAATCAGAAAATAGTAACAAACACACAGTGTTTAAACATGTGGAGGTCAAAACCAGGAAACAAGGTGAAAGGTTTGAGCTTCTTTGCAGGGCGATAGAGTAGAGATAGGGTGGCATGGATGGTGTCAGTGGATATTGTGTAAGGAATTGCTGGTTTGATTTTTATTTATACAGACACAAGCCTTTTGCTAGCTTGGATTTCAAGAGCTATGCATATGTTAGTATCTAAAAAGTGATACATAAACAACCCGTAGTGAGGCAATTATAAGTGAAATTTGGAAGTTTTGTTTATGTTTATTGAAATCCTGGTGTGGCGCTGTGGGTTAATGCGCTCGATTGCAAAGTTGGTTTGAACTGCATGGTTGGAGGTTCAAGCTTACCATCCGTTCCTCGGAAACCCTATACTGGGTTGCTATGGGTCAGAACCAATTTAGCAGCAATTCACCAGAACAAACATTTTATCATATTGGGTATTGTTGAAAATTTCCATGAATCTCATTTCTTTTGATATTTTTGATATTTTAGTTATAGAATATGTGACTCTTACTTCTTAAAAATTTCTATGCATTGAATGCCCTGCTCTGTTTTTGTTCTTAATTTAGTTTACATGTTTTGTTTTTAATTTTATTTTCATTTTTATAAAAGTTGTATATATTTGCACATATACAGTAATATGTTAAAGTGTTCCACAAAGTTAAAAGCAAAAACCAAAACCCTGTTTTTTTTAGATGTTACTGGATGCATTTGTTTTTGTTTCTTTTTCACAACATCTCTACATTGGAATGCAAGTTCCAGAGTCTCGTCTGACAGTTGCAAACTTCCATTAATCATTGGAACATGGAATGTATTAAGTATGAATTGAGGAAAATTGGAAGTTGCAAGAAATGAAATGTAATACATAAAGATCGATATCCTAGATATTAGCAAGCTAAAATGGGCTAGTATTAGCCATTTTGAATCTGACAATCATATGGTATGCCAGGAACAACAAAAGAAGAGAAATGGTATTACATTCATCATCACAAAGAAAATTTCAAGATCTATTTTTAAATACAGTGCTGTCTGTGATAGGATATTATCTGTAAACCTACAGAGGAAATGGAGAACTGGTGTGGCACTGTGGGATAAAGCACTGGATCACAAGGTTGGTTTGAACCACAGCTTGGAGGTTCAAAGTCACCACCTGTTCCTTGTAAACCTTATATAGGGTCGCTATGGGTCGGAACCCACTGGAAGTCACTGAACAATAACAACAAGGAAGACCAGTTGATGCCATTGTTATCCAAATTTACACACCAACCACTAAAACCAATGATGATAAAATTGAAGAATTCTGCCAACTTACTCAGTGTGAAATTGATCAAGCCTGCAATCAAGATGTATTTATAATGACTGGCAATTGGAATGCAAAGGTTGGAAACAAAGGAAGGATCAGTAGTCAGGAAATACAGCCTTGGTGATAAAAATTATGCTGGAGATCACATGGTAGAATTTTGCAAGACCAATGGCTTATTCATTATAATTACCATTTTCAAACAACATAAAGGACGACCATTCACCTGTACCCCACTAGATGGAATACACAGAAATCAGATTGACTAAATCTGTGGGAAGAGACCTTGGGAAAGCTCCATATCATCTGCTAAAGTGGGCAGACTGTGGAACAGACCAGCAATTGCTTATATGCAAATTTTGTATATTTAGACTTTGTAGTTTCTAAGGATAGAATAAAGTTTGAATTTTAGCACACACACAAAAAAAAAACCAACAACAAAAACCAAAAAGCCCTTTGGTATTCCCTTCTTCCATACCTTCAAAGGCAAATACTTTCAATTTTTTAAAAGAGTTATTTTTGTTTTTACCACTGGATCACTGAACAGCATAATTGTATAGCTACTTCTTGATTTTCTTAATATAGGACATTACCTGTTAACTCTCTAGAATGAAAGATAGTGATTTAATTTCTTGTCATTCGCTGAACCCTATTCTTCCTTTAGTGGTTGTGCCTTAAAAACAAGAAAACAAAAACTTCTACACATTTCAGTAGAATTTCAGGAGTATAGAATTTAATTCATGAGATTATGAAAGAGAAGTGTAGAGTGCATTGGGAAGAACTAAGCTCAGTAGAGGTCAAGGAAGAAATTTCCTGTGAAAAAGACATTATTCTGTAACTGCCAAATCATTACGATCTGAAGTTGGAATGAGGAATAGAATTTAGCTCAGTAGAAGAAGAGTTTGACATATGAGAGGGGAGTTTTAAGCAGAGGAAAGAGTATTGGAAAGCTTAGGACACATTCTCCTTCAGAGAAAGAAAATAAGATATTTATCATTGACATATACAGAACAAAAGTGAGAGTTGCATGAAGATGAAGTTATTTAAGTGTTTCAGGCATGTTTAATCCCGTTTCTGTTTTTTAAAAGAGAGCTATATTATATTTTCTGAGGTTATTATTAACTCAGTTTTGAATTTATTGCATGTGAAGCAATCTAAGAGCCGATAACACTTACTCATCACTTGACATTTTGCATTCATGACTATAGTAAAAAAAAAACACAAACTACTGTTCTACTATTTTGTGCACCACTATTTCATATATGTTCTTGTTGTTGTTATGTGCCGTGGAATTGGTTCCAACTCATAGCGACCCTGTACAGGGTTTCTGAGGCTGTAAATCTATATGGGAGCAGAAAGCCTCATCTTTCACCCGTGGAACAGCTGGTAGTTTCGAACTGCTGACCCTGAAGTTAGTAGCCCGATTCATAACCACTATGCTACCAGAGCTCCTTATTTCATATCTAGGAAGACCTTATTGTAATCAGTACCACTTACAAGCGGAGTCCTGGTATGGTGCTGTGGGCTAATGCGTCTGACTGCAAAGTCGTTTTTACTGCAAAGTTGGTGGTTCAAGCTTACCTGCTGCTCCTTGGAAACCCTATACAGGGTTGTTATGGGTCAGAATCAACTTGATGGCACTTAACAACAACAAGCACAATAGGTTGCTTATGTCAATGTGGATAAAATTCCCATATATTTCATTGACATCTGCTTTTTTAGTCTAATCATGAACTTCAGTTATATGAAGAAAAACGTGGCATCAGGATTGGAGAAACACTCATTAGCAACCTGTGATATGCAGATGATACAATCTTGCTTGGTGAAAGTGAAGAGGACTTAAAATACTTACTGATGAAGATCAAAGAGCACAGTCTTTGGTATGGATTGCATCTCAATGTAAAGAAAACAAAATTCCTTGAGGGCCACTGGACCAATAAACATTCTTATCACTGGAGAAAAGATTGAAGTTGTCAAGGACTTCATTTTTCTTGCATCAACTATCAACACTTATGAAAGCAGCAGTCAAGAAATCAAATGACACATTGCATTAGGCAAATTTCATCTGCTGCACAAGACCTTTTAAAGTGTTGAGCAAAGATGTCAGTATTAGGACTGAGGTGCGCCTGACTCAAGCCATGGTATTTCCAATAAGCTCATATGCATGCGAAAGCTGGACAGTGAATAAGAAAGACCATAGAAGAATTGATGCATTTGAGTTATGGTGGAGGAGAATATTGAAAGTGCCATGGGCTGCCAAAAGAACAAAGAGATCTGTGTTGAAAGAGGTACAACTAGAGTGCTCCTTGGAGGGCAGGATGGCCAAACTTCGTCTTTCATACTTCGGGCATATTGTCAGGAGGGACCAATCTCTGGAGAAGGATATCATATTTGTTACGGTGGAGGGTCAGAGATAAAGAGGAAGACCCCCAGTGAGATGGATTGACCGAGTGGTAGCATCAATGGACTCAAGTGTGGCAACGGTAGTGAGGTTGGCCCAGGACTGGGCAGGTTTTCGTTCTGTTGTGCATAGAGTTGCTGCTAGTTGGTACTGACTCGATGGCACCTAACAACGACAACAACAACAGCAAACTTCAGTTACCAGTAATCTTAGTAGAAACAATAATTAAAAATAAAAATTCAGTACCTTTTCTCTGCAACATAGTGTGCTTTCTGTAACTTATTTCCACTACTTTTTATAGTCATAAGATTCCTTCATATTTTTTGTTCCAGTTTTAATCTGAAGAGGGTGAATCTGGAGATAATGAATCTTCAATTAGTTACGTAACCTGTATGGGGTTTCATAAGGTTTAGTGATGAAACTGCATTGCAGATTCATTTCTGACTCTAAAGCTCATCGCCCTTTTTCCCCCTCCTTTACTGTTTTTATGATAAATATTCACACAGCAATTTATTGTTGTTGTTGTTCGGTGCCATTGAGTTGGTACCAATTCATAGCGACCCTATGAACAACAGAATGAAACACTGTTTAAAACTCTCATGTGTCAAACTCATCTTCTACTGAGTTAAATTTTACAATTTCTATAGAAAAATTTCCATGATAATTGGTTACATTTTCTGCAGTGTGGCATTATTCTCAATTCATTCGATTTTGTTTGTAGTATTTCCAGTACTGTAGACTCTGTGCAGGATAAGTACTGGACTGCCAACCACAAGGTTAGCAGTTCGATCCCATCAACTGTACTACAAAAGAAAAGGTGAGGCAGAATTTCTGTTCCCACAAAGATTTACAGCCTTGGAAACTCTATATACAGGGTTTCTCTATGAGTTGGAACTAACTTGATGACATGTAAAAATAACACCAGTTTTTATGCCCCGCTACCTTTTCATCTTGGGGTTAATTTTTACCATTAGATCTTCTATAAGGGAGTCCTCGTGGTGATGCAGTGTATTAAGCAATGGCTACTAACCACTAAATTGGCAGTTCATACTTACCAGTTTATCCTTTGGAGAAATTTAAGGCTATCTGTGCCTGTAAACTTTAAATTTACAGTCTCGGAAACCATATGGAGCAGTTCTACTCTGTCCTATCGGTCCTGCGAGTCATAACTGCCTTCATGGCAGTGGGTGGGTTTCATGGAGCAGTTCTACTCTGTCCTATCGGTTCCTGTGAGTCATAACTGCCTTCATGGCAGTGGGTGGGTTTCAGTCTCCTATAGATATTTTTTAGATGAACTTATTATTCACAGGTGATATTCTTTATTTTTTTGAGCCAGTTTGTTATTTAGCTAAAAGGGATAGTTTTGGTATAAATTTTAAAGTGTCTCTCAGGTGATAGTCTTGGGGAGTTCTCTAGTTTCAGCCTGTCTCATGAGTGTGGAATTTTTTAAGAATTTGAGTTTGGTTTCCACATTTTTCTCTGTTTCTGTAGGATACGTCTATTGTGCCCCTGACCAGAAAGGTCGGTAATAAAATCCTGGCACCATCTAGTCTCACGGTAGATGGCTGCTTTGGTTCATGTTGACTATTTGTCCTCTAGATTTTCTTCTTTGAGTCTTTGGTTTCTTACTTTCCCTTTTGATGAGTAGAGACCAGTCATTCACAGGCTCTAAGACCCCAGGCCCTACTTACTATATTGAGACATATAACATAACAATTTATGAATTGTGTTATGTGAGTTAGCTGAGTTGTCCCATGAAAAGATGGCCCTCAGCCTTCAAACCCAGAAAACCAGTCTCGTGAGGTATGTGGTTATGTCTAAGAAGTATCCATAACTGCTGCTTCTATGTACTTTATTACAAAGACATGAATATAGATGCGCACACTCACATATCCATATGTAGCTATGCCTGTAAGATATTTTTAATCTGTGCACACATATGGACCCACATAATCATATACTTAAATACCTGTATACATATTTGTGTAGTCATGCATACATTCTTTGGTGGTTGTTGCTCCTTTGCCTTTTAAAATAACAATTACTACATATGTCATTTACTACCTACTTATTTCAGATGAATGAATGTCTCTAGTGGAACACAACACTTATTTCATATGTTCATAAGAAATATTTAAGTAAATACTTTTTTTTTAGTGTGTTAATCATTTAAAGCATTTTACTAGAATAATCCTGATGAATCTCCTCATAATTTGTGATTCCCATGATGTTATCTGTATGTGCATTCCTGTAGGGGATGTTTATTTTTCACACCTGATAGGGAATGGTATAGATGAATTCTTTATAATGCAGAAGTCAGCGCTATACTAGATTGCTTATACCTGATGTACTATATCATCCACATAAATACGGAGTGCTTCCTGTTAGTTTTATGAATGTGATAAACAAGATTCTTTAGTCATATTTGTGTTGGAATCACCTGGGGATATTTTCCTAAAGGAGGTATTTCTGGGCCATCAGTGGCGATTTTGATTTAGTAGGCCTGGGCTTAGCACCCAGCCATGTGCATTTTAAAAGAGCATCTCAGGGTGATTTTGATTTTGTTAGTTACATTTGATTTATTTTGTGGTACAGGTGTTTTGATTTAGTATCCACGCGTACTTTTAAATTAGGAAAACCCATAGGAAAATAAGTTAAGCATGCTAAAAAATGTCCTTATTTATCTTATAAGTGTGTACATGCATATAAGAAAACACACACATACTTCATCTTTGTAGCCTGCTCTTTTCCATCTGGTTCTGTATCTCACAGAATTACATATATATGTATATATATATGTATATATATATACAAATACATGTATAAGGAAAGCAATTGGCTAGGATAATCCTTATATATTTTATATATTGCAGAATCCAGTCAATTACTAATTGCCCTTTTGTGTTTTGCAGAGTCGTTGTTGAGCCAAGTCTCCAAGATGAAAATGAATTCTTGTATGCTGCACAACCTGAATTACTCAACTACAGGACAACTCAGCTTGCGGTAGAGAGGGTTACGGAATGGTATCACACCCGAGCAGAGGAAATAGAGCATTATGCCCGACAGGTAAGGTGAAAATTACAGGTGTTGTTCAGCTGCTCTGAATTCTTAGAATTTAGTGCATAAAGTGAATGTCAGCAGTAGTGCCAAGAATCATGTATGTTGTTTGCAAGGAATGAAATGAGTATTTCTTATTACTTTTGTTCATTTAGCCATTGACTCAGAAGGTTTCACAGCTCTTTTTGCTTTCTGACAGAGATACAATAAAAATTGTTCTTTAAAATGTAAGTTGAAAAATTTGATGCATACTGTTCTAGAATTTCTGTAATTTAATCGTTTTACAACCACACTAATTTAAAAGATTGTATCAATCCAGAATTTCTTGATTATCTGTTGTTATAGCAATGCAGTTGATTATTATTTTGCCTTTCAGGAACTCCACTTGAAGCTGTTTTGAATTTCTCTCAGTCCTTATGTACCCTTACTAAGATGTATAACAACTGTATCAGAGAGGTGATTTGGAAGAGAGATGAGGATTATATTGAAATTTAAGATATTACAATACTTACCTTGATTCTGACAAACAGAGTGTATGACTCTGGCCATGTTTCCTACTTTTGGATACCTTAATTTTCTTATGGGGTTAATTCTTGTAACAGAATGAATAAGAACAAAAGAAAATGTACCTGAAAAATTATTAAACTCTGCCAATTGAAGTACTCTACAAATGTAAGGAATAGTTGTTTTTATCATATTGTTTCTGTTAAGTGCAGTCTTGCTGCTTCCGACTCATAGCGATCCTGTATATGGTTTCCAAGGAGTAGCTGGTGAGTTTGAACCACCAATTTTGTGGCTCAAACCAACCTTGCCGTTGAGCTTTTATCCTGCAGCACCATGTAAGGAGTCCAATTGTTGTTGTTGTTGTTGTTAGGTGCCATCGAGTTGGTACCAACTCATAGCGATCTTATGCACAGCAGAATGAAACACTGCCTGATCCTGGGCCGACCTCACTATTGTTGCCACGCTTAGTCCATCGATGCTGCTACTTGGCCCATCTTATCTCGTTGGGGGTCTTCCTCTTTTTCTCTGATAGAACCCCCAAAACAACCAAGCAAAAAAATAAAATAGAAGTTATTTTTATGTCAGTTCCAACTCATGGAGTCCCATGTATGCAAAATAGAACTTCATTCCATGGTTATTTAAAAGCTGTGCCCTTTTATTAACATTCCTATTGCCAGGCCTTCTTCTGAGGCACCTCTAGGTGGGTTCAAACTTCAACCTTCCAATTAGTAGTCAAGTGCTTAACTGTTTGTACCATCCAGGGATACTATCTTACCAGAACAGTGGTTGATAATTCATAGCTAGACATGGCAGAATTCCCATTGAAATGTAATTCAGGTTCTAGTCAATAGATGACATTTCTCTTTACTTTCAGTCTTGGCTTTAGACCATTTGTCCTACCATCAGTGTTTCATTTGACATGAAGGGTACTTTTAGAAAGACTATGTACCCTTCTTTTAAAATTTCTACTTACTGAATGTAACATGCCTTGTCTTCCCATTTGATAGTCTTTTTGATTTCCTGTTTAATTTCTATTTATAATATTTGTAGATTTGAAGATGAATAACTTACTGTTACTGATGGGTATGTTACAGTTTAAACTTTTGGTGGGATGTCCAAGAACATCTATGATTGGAGGTTTTGGCTTTCTAAGTTTTGAAGATGGGTAAGGAACATAGTACATTTCAAAATGTTTAGAATCTCAAAATGACAAGAATTTCTGGAGATGGTCTAGTCTAATTATCTATGGTATTGGTAAGGTAGAGGGTCAGAGAAAAAGAGGAAGACTCCCAATGAGATGGATTGGCCAAGTTGCAGCATTGATGGACTCAAGTGCGGCAACAGTAGTGAGGTTGGGATCGGGCCGTGTTTCGTTCTGCTGTGCATAAGGTCACTATGAGTTGGTACCAACTCGATGGCACCTAACAATAACAACAACATAGGTAGATAAACTAAAGTCCGTGAAAGGAAGATGATCAACTTTCCTAGGGACACAAAGTGGCAGAGCCAGAGCAAATACTGGTTTTAATATAATCTATCTTATAGAGTCTATATAAAAATGATCTGTTACATCAATCTTAGTGACTGAGAGTGAGATTTATAAATCTAGGGAAAAAAACAACCCAAAATACAAAAGCAATCGCAATTCTTAGACTCAGGATATTTTCATAGTAAATATAAGGCATCTTTTATCATTCAGTTTTGAAAATCAGACATTATGTAATTTACAAAAGAATTAATGTAATGACTTAAATGCAGCAAGCAAAATAAATTATATGTATTCTTTGTCATGATTATACTAGAAGTCCATATAAAATCACTGTGAATAAAACAGTTGCAGTTGCAGGCAGATTCAGGTATGATGTATTGGTCACAATGACTGTCAGTGATGTGAATTAACTCATGATAAAATTTTGTTCCGTTAAAATTTTAACAAAATACGGTAAAATCTTCCCTTGATTTATATAGTAGTAACTACATTCCAGGAAAATTCAGTGTAGATTAAATCATACAAAAAAATTTTTTTATAATGTTAAATAATACTTAAGCTAAGTGACAAATATGTAGACTCTTTGTTCATGTCCTGGTAGTGGTTATGTGCCCTGGAGATAGTTCTGACTCATAGCGACCCTGTATAGGGTTTCCGAGGTTATAAATATTTATGGGAGTAGAAAACCTCCTCTTTCTCCTACTGAACAGCTGGTAGTTTTGAACTACTGCACTGGAAGTTGGCAGCCCAACTCGTAAGCACTGTGCTACCAGAGCTAACTTTTGTTTATGCCCTACAGTACCTTAAAAGTGACAGAGCTTTTTCACATTTAAAATTTTAACCAGTCTGGAAATAAATTGCAGACATATTAAATTATTTTGAATAATTAGGGAGAATTATAAAGAAAGAAGATTGAATGTTGGTTGCTTTGTTGAATTGGTTTGTATTACTTCTCTTTTTTCATTTAGGCCTCTAAAAACACCTATAATAAAAGTGTTTTTTAAATCTGCAGATATATATTGGTGTTCAGTGTGTCTTACACTACAGTCAAAGTGATATCTGACATAGTTTTTAATTTTCAGTTTTAGAGATTTAATTGATATGAGACTTCCTTTTCCTTAGTGTCTATAAATGCCTCTAGCAAAATTTGTTTGTTGGTTTAGGAATATGTTTATAGTGGTGAGTTATACCCAGTGAGAGCTTGGGGTACATGGTATGATTTTGTAAGTTGCTTTGAATCTGAGTTTCATTTAATATGTCAGTAATTTGATTTTAAAGACATTTTTGCTTCAGTAAGTATTTGAGAATTTGAATCTTCAAAGATGATAATAAAAAGACAAATGTGCTTCACAAAATTAGTGAGTACATGACAAATTGCTAAAGTGCTTTGTGTTCAAGATACTACTTGTGTTTTATGTATCAAGTATTTTTTCTTCATGCTTTATGAAAATTCACCTGATGAGTTTTAATTCACCTGAGATAGAATATAACTGTAATTGTATCCTTTTAACATAAGTTAAAAAAAATTATTTGTTGAAGTTTTACGAGATTACTGTTTTCCTAGTTTACTTAAGCTTCCGAACTTTACCTACGTACACTTTTTCCGTTATGTTTCTTTGAAACACCCTTTCCAATAGAAAATACATTTCTCCTTTGTTCGCTTAATTTTTACCTGTCAGTCCCTTGGTGTTTGAATACCTTTTGATGGGCCTTTGATCTATGGCTTGACATTTCTTTTTTGCATCTTTCTGCCCTCCTTCTCTTCTGTGTCAAATCTTAATCCTAGTCCTTACACTGTACCATTTCCCTCATTCTCAGATTCCCAGATTTAACATAATCTCTCGTAGTCTATGTAGAAGATATTGGAATTTTCCCACAAACTTTTTGACACTCCCTTGTATGTATATATATATATAATATAAAACTGCTCTGTAAATTGTTAAATCTGCTACCCATTTAAGATGGTTGTCTTTGCTTTCAGCATTTTTTATGGATTGATGTCTCTTTGAAACAGCATAATACTGATACATTTGATGAAGAATTCTTATGTTTTTGTACTAAATAAAAATGTATATTACTGATAATGTGATTTTATAACAATTATAACATGGATTAGATCTGGAGGCTTTTAAAACTTTGAAGTATATTGTAAGACTTTAATACTAAAAGACTTAACTGTTGCTTTTCAATTTTAGGTTGACTGTGCATTATCACTTGTTCGACTTGGAATGGAGCGGAGTATTCCTGGTTTGATGGTTCTGTGTGATAATTTGGTTACTCTGGAAACACTGGTTTATGAAGCCGGGTGTGAGTTAACTCTAACCTTAAAAGAACTCCAGCAGATGAAAGACATTGAAAAACTAAGATTACTGATGAACAGTGTAAGTTTTATTTTACCTCTTCTTTTTAATCATTCCCTATGAACTTTGATTATTTATTACATGTCACAGAGTCAAAGATGAAATGTCCTCCAAACCTGACAATTTAGCAAAGGAAGATTTCTTTTCTTTTTCTTGTTGTACAATGTTTTACTGAATGTATCTAAACTATTTTGGCTGTTTTTGTACTTTGCTTGCCCTTTCTTCTGATCCATTTGTATGATCATTATTATTACTATTACTTCTTAGTGAGGCATACTTTAAAACTAACTGGTCAGTTTAGTAATATTACTCTTTTCTGTGGTAAAATTTCCAATTATGTGTCTATTTCAAGGAGTAAAGAAACAAGTATCGAGATCCAGAGGATTGAGTGGTTATATGAAGAAAACATCTTGACTTCAGGGTTGTATGAGAGTTTGTACAGCCATTCTTAGATTTTTCCTGGGTCAACTTGTGCTTTGTCTCCCAAGTTAGTACCTGTTTTTCCCTAAGCGCACTGAATAGAGATACCTTTGAAGCAGTGCTAAGTGTCAGTGTTCTTCTTTTTGGCAATCATGTGTGAGTGGGCAGGTAAAGAGTGGAGTGACTACACAACTGCTGGATATGCTCTCTTTTCTCCATCCCCCAACACACCCCCTGCCCAGCATTTCGCTAGTTCGCACTTTCTTTTTGATCAGCCTTTCTCTCTTCTTCATCCCTCTTACCATTTTTGTTCCTCATATGCATCCTATTTCTCTTTCCTTTGTCCTTACATTCCCTTTCCCCCATTATTTTTTCTCTTTTGGGTAATCTATCTTGTGTTATAAGAAAACCAAAACCAAGTACTGTTGACATTTTGATTCCTGAAGACTCCACAGGTGTCAGAGAGCACCTGCACTATGTATGGTTTTCTATGATGTTTTTTGGAAGTAGATTGCCAAGCCTTTCTTTACAGGTGCCTCTGGGTGGACTCAAAATTCCAGGCTCTTAGCAGCCAAGTTCATTACACCAACTAGGGAGCTGAGTTGTGGCAACTGTGTAGTATAGAGAACTCTGTTTGAGAGATCTTTTCTCTTGGAATGATTCAGAGAAAGGAATGTGAAATTTTAGGGTAATTAATAGAACTATCATTTTCATTTGGAGTTTTGTGAAGGTGGATTTAGAGAGGCAAAACAAAACAAAGTGAAAGAGGAAAACAAAGGGTAACATTCTGGACCGCTATGGATGACACAGTAGTCTCAAGTGGTTCCTTTCTGGATCTTCTTTATATTTGTCTGTATGTTTCTGGTCTCTGCTCTTCTGTTTCACTTATTTCAGTTGATGTATGGTCTCTCTTGGTCTAGGGTCTCTCTGTCTCTCTCTTTCTCTGATTCTTTTTATTTAACACACCCCCCCCCCCACACACACACACAGTTTTTGGATAGAACTCTTAGCTCTGAAAGACTTCATGAATTAGGAGGAGCAGGAAAATGGCTATGCTTGTTTTCTAGAGCTGGTCTTAGGCTGTTTGGGACCCTAAGTACATGATGGTGGTGGAGGTTGGTTGCTTTTGAATTTATTCTGATTCACAGAGACCCTGTATAGTGTTTCCAAAGCTGTAAATTTTTTCTTTCTTCCTCATCCTTCTTATCATTTTTGTTTTTCATATTTACATCTTTCCCTTGTGGAGTGGCTGGTGGATTTGAACTGCTGACCTTATGGCTAGCAGCCTAATGTGTAACCCATTAGGCCACCAGAGCAGCAGTGGTATTGCTGCTGGTGCCAGCCCCTGGTAGAGGGTGACCCTCTTGATACTTACCAATTTATAAGTTTGTATGTGATTGGTCCACTGGAGTGTCTACTATAGACACTGATGGGCTTTTAATGTTTAACATTCATCTTTTTGTCTGTGAGCTTAAGGGTTTTTTGTCTGGTATAATGAACTATTTAGCTTATTTTAATGTTTGTTTTGATTCTGTTTTCAGTGTTCTGAAGATAAATATGTGACAAGTGCCTATCAATGGATGGTTCCTTTTCTTCATCGTTGTGAGAAACAGTCTCCAGGTGTGGCTAATGAACTATTAAAAGAGTATTTGGTAACTTTAGCTAAAGCAGACTTAAAATTTCCCCTGAAGATATTCCAGCATTCCAAACCAGATGTAAGTAGAAATTCTGACTTCTTAAAATTTTCAGTACATTTTTTTCTTGCAAAATTTGGTTTTGTTTATTAAGTTTTTTAAGTTCATAAAAGTATGCCTGTTTGGATTGATTCAGTGTACATTTCATTGACTGTGTGGGAAACTATCAATACCAAGACTAATAGTTGATAGTTACTGAATTCTCACTATAGGCAGGTACTTCACAATGTTAACGTGTTTAATCCTTGAAACAATCTTAGGAGTTTTCTGTTAGTTGCTGTTGAGTGTATAGTAGGAGAAAATGATGTCTGGCCTTGAGCCATTTTTATAATAGTTGTTATCTTTGAGCCCTTGATACTGTCTCATCTAATGAGGTAGTTATAGGATTTTAATATTATAGGAGAAGAAAAATATTACATAAAGTGACCCAGCATCACGCATTAAGCAGAGGGACCTGCATTCAAACATAGATATTCTAATTCTGCAGATTGTATCCATAACCATTATGCATTATTCTTTTACCAGTAGGAGAAAATTTCTGCCCTTGAAGATCTTTTAAGCATTTTTGAAAATCTTTAGGATCTAATAAGGAGATCTTATAATTATTCTTAATAATTCTTAGGTTTTCTTGAGACTACTACATTTGTAGCTTATATTTCTAAGAGAATCAAATGGATGGTAAAGTCATTTTGTTAAATGCTGCATACTTTTGAAAAGTAAATAATCTCTAAGTTTATGTCCGATTTTTTGTTTTTAGGAGATAGTGGTTCAATGTAACCATTGCACCACCAATCTTGTTAGTCATTCTAATTTGAAACAATGGTGATAATTTGTTGTACCTGTAGCAATATTTTACAATGTTTGTACTAATAGTTTAAATTTTTAGTAATTATAAAAAAAGAGAGAGAGATAGTGGTTCCCTTTCCATGGCAGGGGACTCTAGCAGGATGGTGTAGCCAGTCACTTGAGGCACTGCTTTTGTAGTGAGCTTTTAGCATTAGTATGGGATTGAGGCAGGCACTATTCTAAATTTGAATTGATTCCAATTTCTAATACTTGTTTACGTTAGTGTTCTGAAGCCCAGTGAAATACATGGTCGTAGTTCTGTGTAATCCAGATAGAAAGGAGAGATTCTGGAATTAACCCTCTCTACATTTTTGGTTTCAGAACAGGTTGTCTATCAAAAATATATCTGTTCATTGATTGTTAAAAAAACATTCCATCTTTTCATCATCAGTTTTTACTTAGTATTCGATTAAAATTTGGGGTGGTTTACTGCAAGCAGAGGGTGACTTGCTTATGACAGCGAAATACTATATGGAAAGCAGAATGGATTGAATATGAATGTTTTATGAGGAAGAGAGAAAGAAGTGACTTAAAATCCTTTCCAGTAATCTTGTTTATGGTACTAGTTCCTTATAGAATCTTATAACTCCTTTGTATATAGTCCGCTTTTTGTTGTTTTTACTTGACAATGTAGCATGTGCCTTTCGAATAAAACATAGTTATTTCCCTTTGCTGAAATATGTGAACATCAAAGCACAAAACAATGATGTTGCCTGGCTCTTCCTATCAAATCCAACCTCTGTATTTCTATAAATGTTATCTTTCTACAGCACAAATTTGGTCACGTCATCATCTGTGGAAAATCTCCACAGTGATTTACCATTGCCTGCAGGTAGATGTTGGACTCTGTAACTCAAACATTTGCCCTGTACCCTTGATTGGGCCTTCTTAGTCTGCTTTCAGGCCATCTCATTAGCCTCATTTTCCTCAGTGAACTCACTAGTCCACTCACGCTGAACTTCTCATCCCTTCACCCTGTCAGAGTCTTTTAGACTGCTAAAAAGCTCTGTGAGATTTTATGGGTTGTTTCCTGTATTTAAAATACTTATTTTCCGCTGCTTTATTTAATATATATTGGCTATTTTGTAAGACCTTGCTTATTAAGGTTCTCTTTATCATGAAACCTCTCTGTGCAATGACAGGCATGTTACCTGCCTCTGTTATAACCCTTTTCATACTCTTTTGAAATTATTTGCCTTCTTGTTTGTTTCTCCCTCCAGACTCTTAGTTTGTAATTTGTTTCAGCTCATTCATTTCTATAGTACCTATATCTCATTCATTTTTATATTACTAGGGGCTATCACAGTGTCTGTTGTTGTGTGCCACCACATCAGTTCTGTCTCATAGTGACCCTGCATAGGGCTTCTGAGAGCGGCTTGTGTGTTTGAACTGCCAATCTTGTGATTACCAGTCCAGTGCTTATCTTACAGTGCCACATCATAGTGTCTAGTAGAGAGAAATTCTCAGTAAATTATGTCAGGGAAAATGAATTAATGAGTGGTTACAACTGAGTTTTATTATGATTCTTCAGATCATTTGATTACATTTGTTTTCTTTCCTTGTAGGTTTGTGCTGGAAGCTCTGTTTGTATTTTTCTTGCCTTTACCAAAAGAATATACCTGAATTTGTCATGAATCATGCATAAAACATTTTTAGTAATATAACAAAATCATTGATTTCTATGCCAGACACCTTTTAGACTAAGTCAGGGTTGGGGAACCTTTTTTTCTGTCAAGGGTCATTTGGCTATATCTAGCATCATTCACAGGCCATACAAAATTTTATCAACTTAAAACTTAGCGTGCTGTATTTTGTCAAACATTTAATCAACTTAGCCCTAATGTGATGGCTGGAACTGTGGTTGGGTGCCTTGGCAGGGCCAGACCAAATGATTTTGCAGGCCTTATGTGGCCCACGGGCCCGACGTTCCCCACCCCTGGACTAAGTTACATTGCAGTAACTAGTGACTTCTAAATTTTGGTAGCTTACTAACCATTCATTTCTGACAACTGCATGGGATGTGCAGATGGGCTTCTGCCATTGTCTTTGTCTCATTCATTACAGGATGAGGCTGAATCAGCACTTCTCCTTTCTGTCTTGTGGCACAGGAAGAATAGCAGAGCACTACACAGTGGCTCTTAAAGTTTTAGCTTAAAAATGTGTCATATTATTGCTCTCACATTTTATAGGATAATGAAAATCCCATGGCCAAGACTTATGCCAATGAAGCTGGAAAGAAGAATCCTGACATAGGAAGAGGGGAGTGAATGATTAGGAACAATATATAGTTGACCAGTTAAATGATACAGAAAGAGACACTGAAACTTACCCTTTGATAGAAGAGCATTTGGCTGCCAAATTTGCCCTTTTAAGCATCTCCTGTGCTTCAAATTCTTCCTCTCCTACTTGAAGATGCTCATGTGTCTTGCTCTGTGGGCCGGGAAGTGTCCACATCCCGGTCTTCATGCTGGTCTCTTGGTTCTGCTGCCTCTGCTCCTATGCTTTTGCTTCACACCATCTCTTGCCATCTCTGGTGTAACATTACCCTGTGTCCTGGATCAAAGAGGTTCAGCAGTTCAGCTCAGACGTCTTGGGTCCAACGGACATGCTCCACTCCTGGCTCTTCTTTCTTGATGGTTGTGAGATACTCTTTTCCTTCTCTGGAATGACTCGTTTTAAGCCTAGGAGGATGGCAAAACTGACTCGTCCCCATGCTACAGTACCGTATGCCTTTTTTTCATGGCCTCATCCCACAAGTTGCTTCTTACTTACGTGATCAGTAATACCCCTGGTACTTATACCCTGGGCTATAAGTACCTCACATTGTTGTGGTGCTATAGAATAAGCACTGGACTGTTAACCACAAGAGCAGCAGCTCAAACCCACCAACCACTCCTCATAAACCCTGTATATGGTCACTGTGACTCGACAGCCTTAACAACAACCTCATCACTCAATTCATGGGAGTTACAAACTCAGTGGCTAGAAGGACCATGCTAAGTAATTCTCTACATATTCTAGCTTTGTTAGATAATATCATTTCAGTTGTTTTCTGATTACATAATTCAATGGGCATTTTTTATTTTAAAATAAATTTAAAATTTTATATTTAGTATTTACTATAGAGTGTTTCTGGTAGCGTAGTGGTTACGAATCGGGCTGCGCACCGCAAAGTCAGCAGTTTGAAACTACCAGCGTTTCCGTGGGAGAAAGATGAGGCGTTCTGCTCCCATAAAGATTTACAGCCTTGGAAACCCTGTACAGGGTCGCTATGAGTCGGAACTGACTCCACGGCACATAGCCACCATAGAGTGTTTAGAAAATTCTGTTTCTGGCAATATGGTTGACTAATCTCAAAGCTCTTCTGTGAATGATATAGAAGTGCTCAGTAAATTGTTAATTTTTACAAATATATTTAACTACATAGTTGATCTTAGTAGGAACTAAGAAAATTTCCTATAAGTAGAAGAGGGATATGGAAGACAGAAACACTCAGGAGAAGATAGGTAGTGCCATCTTTGGGTGGGGTGTGGTGGGCAGGAAGATTGCAGTTTTGGGGTTGGTTTTTTTAAGTTTTTATTGGGAATTGAGTGATAGTTTACCTGGGAGAGAATCAGCTTTGCATTCATCCTATTGTATTTCATTTCATTGCAATGATTACAATCCCTTCCATGCATCATCATTCAATAGCATTTGCTTCCAATCCTGTTTTGTTTTGTTTTTGTTTTTGTTGTTTTTTATGTACACCAAAGCACTCAGGAATATATAACCATTCAAACAACCAAAGGGTAGAAATACCCTCACGCCAGCTCGCCAGCCGTCAGCACACAGCCCCTCTTCCTCCTTGAGTCTAGAGCCCCCAGCTGCTCTGACTCTCCATGTCATTGTCTCTGCCTCCATCTCTGGAGTCACTGCTTCTCTGGTTGGGGTTCCACACTCCGCTCTTCTCCCTTGATGGTCCCAGGGTCCTCCGCTTCTGTACTGCAAGATGAACCACTCCCCTCTTGTTACAAAACATCTACCTTTACATTTGCAACATTCACAATCAGTCCTGATCGCAATTATTCACTATTGAACCACAAGAGTCTTATCCCCATCTCATTTTACCAGTCCTGTCTAGACAGGTTGGAAACCACTCACTGGACATTCTGTCTTCCTCCACACCCTCTGAAACTAAGCTTCCTCTTGAAAACTTGTAAGCCAGTCACTTTGTGCCTTTGTTGCCCCCACCTCCCCCAATTTTGTTTAGCCAGTGTCTTAAGTTGCCCATGCCTGTCAACCCTGTATATAGAGGGTGTGGGAATGATCCTTGCTGTAAAGGATTTGTTCCCTCTTTTAAGCTACTACATCCCTAAGTATAGGTCCAATTCATCAAGCTGTAGCAGATTATGCTTTTTTCCCTCCTCTTTCTTCTTCTAGTTGAGTCTTTTTAAACACCTATTTTGAGACAGAAGATGAAGGTGTTTTTTTTTTGTTGTTGTTGTTGTTTTTTAAGATGAAGTTTTTTAAGTGGTGAGTTAGAAGTGAGACTTTTACCAAAACCAAACTCATTGTCATCAAGCTGATTCTGATATCTAGAGACAGAATATTGGTGTGGCACTATAGGTTAATGCATTGGACTGCAAAGCCAATTTGAACTGCATGGTCGGTGGTTCAAGCTCACCAGTCTCTCTTTGCAAATCCTATAGAGGGTTGCTATGGGTTGTAACAGATTTGATGGCACTCATCAACAACATCGACAGAGTAGAATTACCCCATGTGTTTCCAAGACTGTAATTCTTTACAGAATTAGACAGTCATGTGTTTCTTCTGTGTAGCTGCTGGTGGGTTTGAACTGTAGACCCTTGGTTACCAGCTGAGAGTTGAGTGGTTTAACCACTGTGTCTTCAGAGCTCCCTTGCATAATGCCAAGGCCCTTTAATGGGTCTTTCTGGGCTCTTCCCCTTCCCCCCCATGGCTTTCAGCTTATCTTGGTGCCATAACACACAGTCTTAATTATCTTTATAATAAATCTTGATATCTAGTAGAGCAAGCCCTCTTAGCGTGTTCTTCAACAGTGTGTTGGCTTTTTTTTATTCCTTTGTAATTCATATAAGTTTTATATTCAGGTTATAAAATAGCACAAACCAAAACCGTTAGGGAAATTCAAATTGTAAATCATTTTAAAGAAAGTTGATAGCTTTATAATAATGTATCCTCCAATTTGTTCACATGGCTAAGGACTGTTATTTGAATTTATAGATGTATCTTTTTATTTAATTTGTACTTATTGCATCTGGTCTGTGTTTCTTTTTCTTTGTTTTTTTTTACGTTTTGTAATTACCATGCCTCTTTAATCCACTTTTCCTCTTCATATTTTGCCACACCAGGACTCCACAGGCTCTTTTAGGATTGCTAAATGCCTAAAGACACTACACTATAAGTCTCAGTCCAAAGACACTAAGCTCTAGTCCTTTGAATTAGCACTGTAATTTCTGATGAAAGATAAGAAAACAGGAAGTTCAAGGAAAACAAGTAGAACCTTGACATCTGTTGTAGATGGTTTTCCACATTGTTCCTTGACTGATACTAGTTTCAGTTTTTTCATTGTCCTGTTGACTTTTTGTATCATATTTGAGTTGTTTACTACCATTTTATTTCCTCATAGTCTTTTCCATTTTGCAGGCTTGTCAAAGCACTCTTGTATAGAGTGGATTTAGAATTACTTGCCTGTATATGAATGCACTCTTTATCATTTACTAGCTCTGTGACCTAGGGGAAATTATGTGACCTCTTACAGCCTTTAAAAAAAGAAATGAAAATGAAAAGTGGGATTAATAATAGTGTTAATAGTTTTACAAAAACATATGTAAAGTGCTTAGAAATAAACAATAAATATTAAAAATAAATAAGCATACCATAAAAAATCAGAAAAAATTACCTACTTTAATCTACTAATACTTACTGTTATTATGTCTTACTTGCCTATTTCACTGGTTTGCCACTTTGTGTCCTTGGGTAACTCTTTGTGTGAAGTGTTAGTGTCAAATGAATAATATATATTTTGTCTTAATGTCTTGAATAAAAGTTTATAAATTCCTTAATGTGTTCACTCTAGAAAACTTTTTCTTCCTAGTAGCCTTGAATGGTTTTTGTTTTGTTTTATATCCATTTATTTAATAGTTCTTTACTGAGAAAATTACTTTGACAATTTCTTTCCATCAGTTTCCTCTCTGTTTTATGTATATAGCATTTTTAATGAAATGTTGAAAATCAGTAATAATTTATGGAGATTATCTCAAACATAACCCTGTTGTTGAAAAATGGCCTACGCAAATGTTTTCAAACTTTCATTTTATTTGTGTTGTAGTACGCTAGGCATTTTGCATGTATTAATTTACTTAATTATCACAACAGCCTTACTGGGAATGTGGTGTTTATGTGTCAATTTTGATGAGAAAGGCAAGGCACAAACATCTTACATAGCTTAACCATAAAACTAGTTATGGGTAAGAGTCAGGATTTCTGCCATGATAGTCTGGCTCTGAAGCTCTTACTCTTAACCACCTTGTTACTGACTCATATAAATGATATCTATAATTATAATCAAGTAGAAAACTTAAGTGAAAAAAATTTTGCTTTATTTGTATAGCCCAGAAAAGAATCCAAGTTTGGTAATCTAGGGTTTGCTGTGGGAAATGGTGTATCCTTTAGAGAAGTTGACTCAAAATAGTCATCTTTCTACATTAGAACTATGGAGTACATTACATTATAACTATTGTTTGATAAAGTGCCATAATATATATTTAATGAGGAATATATCATGTAAATTGAAAAATAGTAGGTGCTAACATCTGTGAATATTAAGGAGTTTTATATGTTTTTGTAATTGAAACACAGAAATTTTTGCTTTAGGGTTAGAAATGCTTTTTATCATATTAGCTTGTAAATTCTTTGTTTCTCCTATCAATTTTACTTGAGTGGGTCATAAATTGAAGTCTGTTTCAGCAGATGCAAAGCTTATGGGTTACAAATTATCTTTTTTTTTTTTTCCTGATTTTGTAATTAAAATGTGATATCACTTATAATTATTAAAGATTCCAAAAATCTGTAAGCAAAAGAAAAGTCCAGATTTGTTTCTATAGCTGATTAATTGCACTATTTAATATTCTCTTGAGAGTGGTACTGGGATATGAAAATCCTGACTGTAAATCTGTTGATATTTAGCACACGTGTTTATTTTTATTAGCTACAGCAGAAGATTATACCTGATCAAGACCAACTGATGGAAATAGCACTACAATGCATCTACAACTGTGAGCGAAATGACCAACTCTCTCTTTGCTATGACATATTAGAATGTCTGCCACAAAGAGGATACGGGTAAGAATCTACAGTTCCACAATCTGTTATGGTTATATTTTCATTCTTGAAAAATTGTGGTAATTGTGTTGGTAACAAAACATTTGCCATTTCTACAATCTTCACATGTGCTGTTCTAATTGTGTTCATCATATTGTTCAGGCATTACCCTTAACTGGATCCAAACTTTTCCATCACCTTTACCACAAGCTGTGTCCCCTGTGAATTGTAACTTCATGTATTCCTCCTTCTTGGCTGACTCTGGTGGCCACTAATAGACTGTGATTTCTGTGTATTTGTCTGTTATAGAGAAGTTATGTACGTGGAATCATACAATACTGCCCTTTTGTGACTGATTTCACTCAGCGTAATGCTTTCAGGCTTTTCCAGATCATAGCATGTATCAGGAAATTGTTCTCATCATAGATAAATAATGTTCCATTTGTTTGCTGTGCTTCCCCATCCCCCAAACATATGAAATAAAAATGTTGCCTCCTCCTCCAGACAGCATATTATAGAGAATTTGGAGATATGTAAAATATCTAAAGATATTATAATTCTTTAGAAAATAGAACTGCCAAACATGCAGTCTTTGGCCTACAATTAAGCTTTCATTCTACTTCTACTACATGGAAAGCGATTATAACTGTGTTGACCTTGATAATCACTATAAAGCAAATAAAAATACCACCTTCACCACAAGAAAAAACACTTTATAAAGTGAATAGGCAGTGATACCTTTGTTTTAAATTGTGTATTTATAGGCCAGTTATGTTTCTTTATGAATGGTTTATTGTTAGTCTTTGTCTATGGTGATCTTTCTAAGTAATGTGTGAACACACACACAAAGGGGTGCCTAACAATAAATTGAAAAAGCATTAAAAGAATGGAGTTTTTCATGAACTTTTTGAAGCCTTTTATATAATTTTTAAGTAGGCCTGTGTTTAAATGGAAATACATAAAACTTTCTTTTAGATTGTTTGTTGTTGTTAAGTGCCGTCGAGTCGATTCTGACCCCTAGCGACCCTGTATAGGGTTTCCGGGGAGCTACTGGTGAGCTTGAACTGCCAACCTTGCAGTTCAAAGGGCTTTGCAGTCTCACGCATTTATATGCAAATAAAATTTGTACTTTTTTGTTGGAAGTAAAGCTATAATCAATCCTTTAAACACTGTTTAAAATTTTAGTAGATATTGAAACTTTTTCATAATGATTGTACATGAAAATTTGGGACTTGCTTTTAAGCCTTTGTGACTTCAATAGACTAAGTTGTTTGGTATCTGTTTCCTTATTTATAAAATATTTAGGCAATCAGGCCTCCTAGTTTCTATGTTTTCTTTCTCTGTTCTCTCTTGTTTTGCCCTCTCTCCTTTCCTTTCAACATGTTTTGGGAAATGAATGGTAAAAAAAATCGATTGATTTTTCAATTCCTGTGAAATAATTATTCATGTAGTCATTAGTGGTATTGAAATCAGATTGATGTGGACAGGGCATTTGCAGGGTACCACAGCATAGCCTTCCTGGTGTGGTGCTGTGGGTTAATGCGCCAGACTGCAAAGCTGTTTGAACTGCAAGGTCGGCAGTTCAAGCTCACCAGCTGCTCCTTGGAAACCCTATACAGGGTCGCTATGGGTCGGAATCGACTCGACAGCACTTGACAACAACAACATAGCTTCAGTGACTTAAAAAAAATTTTCTTTTAATAACCAGAGGGAGGTTTACCTTTATGAAATTGAAATCTGACTGCTATCACCTTAATCAAGTTATCAAATGGCAACACTTAGACTAAGTTAACTTTTGAAATTGTTTGCCTTCTGATATGATGCAATATGAAGTAACCAACATCACAACATCCCTTTTGAAGTATCCTTGCCAAAAAATGTTTACCTTGAATCTCTAGACTGAATTTCTGGTTTACAGTAAATACAAGGATTAGAGGCACATGTTAAATGACACCATGAATAAACAGACAAGTACAGAATATGTGATATTCTACAAATCAAGTGGTCTGATCCTTATGAAAAGTCAGTGTCATGAGGAAAAACAAATATCTGGGGACAGTGTGTGGATGTGTGCTGTTCCAAAATAAAGGGATATAACCAAAACCAGACCTGGTTATGACTCATAGTTACCCTGTATAGGGTTTCCAAGACTGTAAATCTTTACAGAAGCGCGAAGCCTAATCTTTTTCACTCAGATCAGGTGGTGGGTTTGAAGTGCTGACTTGTTAGAAGTCCAGTGCTTATCCTACAATGCCACTAGAGCTCCTTAAAGGAATACAGTCACCCCCCAATTTAAAAATATAAAGTAAGTGCATGACCATAGGTAAAGTGTAGGTCTTTATAGTCTTTAGGGTGGGTAAACAGCGGTTGGATACTTCTCTTCCAATGCCAAATGCTTTCATGTCCTTTTACTAATTGTCTTCTTCTTGCCTTTGGATTTCACATTTAAATTCTTAAGACTTTTTCCACATAAAAGTTTTATGCTATTCTTGTTTCATAGATATACAGAAACATTTTCTTTTAGTCCCTGGATTATTTTCACCCCTACCCGATCTCTGATAGTCTGTTTGTTTGCATTCCTGTCTTTACTGTTAGGGACTTTCCTCCATGTCTCATGATTCTTGGCCATTTTTACTTAAAGAAAATGAAAAAAAAATCAATTGGAAGCCTTATGTTTGTGGAGACTAGGCTTGTGCCTAGAAGTAAGGCTGACAGTGTAAATAAACCATGGGCCTCTGAGCCGTGGGCCTCAGGGACAGTAAAGGATAAATAAGGTAGATTGTGCTAATAGATTTTGAAGCAAAATGTCCTTAAAAAACCAAAACCTGTTGTCTTTGAATCAATTCCAGCTCATAGAGACACTGTAGGATACAATATAACTGTCCCTCAGGGCTACCAAAGTTGTAATCTTTACAGAGACAGAATTGCCTTATGTTTCTCCCATGCAGAGACTGGTAGTTTCCAACTGACCTTTCAGTTATCAACAGAATGCTTTAATACAGCGAACTTAACTAGGGCTCCTTACCCATCAAAAATCCTGAGCCCAATGGATATCAAGGTGTCAGTATCAATTTGACAATTGCTCTTTTCCCTGAAGATGTCAAGAGATGTAGAATGCTGTTTGAAACAAAAATCCTTGAGAGAAAAAATAGTGGGGATTTTCTTCCTTAATTGGAAACTACATAGGGGCAGTGAAGTGGTTCCAGTGTAGGTTTGATACCTTCTTTTGTTCCTGAATCAACTGTGTAAAATAATTTACATCCAACTGAAATGTGTACTTTATTTTTATAAATGTAGCAGCCTATGTTTCAGTAAGATTTCAGTCAGAATTGAGTGTAAATACCAGTTAGAGTTTATCCATTAATTTGCCTTTCATGAGGAAATACTTTAATCAGTTGAATTCCTGCAAGATATTGTTGTTGTTGTTAGGTGCCATCAGGTCGGTACCCTATGTACAACCGAACAAAACACTGCCTGGTCCTGGGCCAACCTCACAGTTGTTGCCATGTTTGAGCCCATTGATGCTGCCACTTTGCCAATCCATCTCGCTGGGGGTCTTCCTTTTTTTTCTCTGACACCCCACTTTACCGAACATGATAGCCTTCTCCAGCTACTAGTCCCTCCTGACAATATGTCCAAAGTGTGAGAGGTGACATTTGGCCAACCTGACCTCCAAGGAATACTCTGGCTGCACTTCTTCCAACACAGATCTGCTCATTCTTTTGGCAGTCCATGGCACTTTCAATATTCTCCTCTAACACCATAACTCAGATGCTTCAATTCTTCTACAGTCTTCCTTATCCACTGTCCAGCTTTCACATGCATATGAGGTAATTGAAAATACATATCTTGGGTCAGGCGCACCTTAGTCCTCAAGCTGACATCTTTGCTCTTCAACACTTTAAAAAGGTCTTGGGCAGCAGATTTGCTTAATGCAATATGTTGTTTGATTTCTTGACTGCTGCTTCCATGAGTGTTGATGACTGATCCAGGAAGAATGAAGTCCTTGACAACTTTAATCTTTTCTCCTTTGATAAGAATGTTGTTTATTGGTCCATTGGTAAGGATTTTTGTTTTCTTGATATTGAGATGCAACCTCCATACTGAAGGTTGTGCTCTTTGATATTCATCAGTAAGTATTTTAAGTCCTCTTCACCTTCAGCAAGCAAAGTTGTATCATCTGCATATTGCAGGTTGTTAATGAGTCTTCCTCCAATCCTGATGCCACATTTTTCTTCATAGAACCAGCTTCTCAGATTACTTGCTCAGCATACAGGTTGAATAAGTATGGTGGAAGAATACAACCCTTTCACATACCTTTCTTAATTTTAAATCATTCAGTGTTCCCATGTTCTGGTCAAACAACTGCCTTTTCCATCGTCCGTCTCTGCAGATATAGTCAATTTGATTTCTGTGTGTTCCATCTGGTGAGGTCCATGTATATAGTCATCTCTTATGCTGTCTAAAGAAGGTATTTGAAATGAACAAATCATTGGTTTTGCAGAATTCTATCATGCGATCTCCAGCATCATTTCTATCACCAAGGCCATATTTTCCAACTACTGATCCTTCCTCTTTGTTCCCAACGTTTGCATTCCAATCACTAGTAATGAGCAATACATCTTGATTGCATGTTTGATCAAATTCACGTTGAAGAAGTTAGTGATGGTGGTGGTGGTTATGTGCCATGCATTTGGTTCCAACTCATAGAGCCTCTGTACCGGTTTTTCGAGGCTGTAAATCTTTATGGGTGCAGAAAGCCTCATCTTTCTCCCACAGAATGGCTGTTGACTCTGAGATTAGTAGCCCGATTCATAACCACTATGCTACTGGAGCTCCCTGAAGCAGTTGTTAGAATTCTTCTGTTTCATCCTCACTGGCTTTAGTGGTTGGTGCATAAATTTAAGTTGTTGTTGTTGTTGTTAAGTGCCATCGAGTCGGTTCCGACCCATATCGACCCTGTACAGGGTTTCCGAGGGTGTAAATCTTTACTGGAGTAGAAAGCCTCATCTTTCTTCCACAGAGGTAGTTCTTATTAACTGACCTTTCCTGTATGTGCATGGATATTATTCTATCACAGACAGCGTTGTATCTCCTGACTGATCTTGATATGTTCTTTTTGATGATGTATGCAACACCATTCATCTTCAGTTTGTCGTTCTAGGCATAACAAACCCTGTGGTTGTCAGATTCAGAATGACCAATACCAGCCGGTCCATTTCAGCTCACTAATGCTTAAGATATTGATGTTTATGAATTCCATTTCATGTTTGACAATTTCCAATTTTCCTAGATTCATACTTCGTACGTTTCATGTTCCTATTATTAATGGATGTTTATAGCTCTTTCTCTTGATTTTGTGTTACCAACAAATGAAGGTCCTGAGGCTTACTCCCATGAGTTTTCTCCAGTCGTGTCATCACGGTCAACTCTACTTTAAGGAGGCAGCTCTTACCCAGTTGCATTTTGAGTGCCTTCCAACTGAGGGGCTCATATTCTGGCACTCTATCTGACAGTGTTTCTCTGCTATTCATAAGGTTTTCAGTGACTAAATATTCAGAAATAGTTTGTCTCTCCTTCCTAGTGTGTCTTTGTTCCTGGAAGCTCATCTGAAACCTTTCCACCATGAGTGACCCTGCTGGTATTTAAAATACTGATAGCATAGCTTTCAGAATCACAGCAACTCACAAGCCACTACAGTACGACAAACTGACAGAGAAGATCTTTGGGTTTTATTATAAGGAGCCCAAATAGAGCTCTCTATATCTTATTTTTGTTGATGTTAAGTGCTGTCGAGTTGGTTCCAATTCATAGCGACCCTGTTTAGGGTTTCTAAGGTAGGTTTTAACTGCTGACCTTGTGCTGATTTTATATTGACACACCAGGAGTCTTATATAGATTTGGAACATTTAAAATGTCATAACTGAAACACAAAAGCCTAATTAATTTTGAAATATAATATGAAATAGAACAATGCAATTAATTAAATAAAATGTCAACCTAATTTTTTGTATTTACATTTAAATATTACACTTCCGTTAGAATCATTAAACTAAAGTCAAGAAAAAAAAATCAATGGAATGATGATGTGTTAGAATATTTTTGATGTGAGTATTACACTAAGGGAAATACTATATTGGTTTTAGAAGAATATGAAGGCTAAGAAATGCCTTTCTTAGCTATGTAGGCGTAAAAGCTTTTCTTCTGTGTTTATTTTAATTTTTTATTTTATAAGCTAGAAGCCTTTCTTGATTCTGATGTAACAGAATTTTAGTATTTAAATGTATATACAAACATTGCATTGCCACTTTTTTGTTATTACATTTGTTTCTTAATTAATGCATTTCAGAGAGTAATTAAGCTTTTGTGTTCCAATTATGACACTTAAAAATTTCTCAGTCTGTATAGGGAGTTATGTTTGAACTTCTTCTGTGGGTTAATACACTGGACAGCAAAGTCGCTTTGAACTTCAGGGTCTGTAGTTAAAGCTCACCGGCTGTCCTCAGAAACCCCATACTTGGTCGCTATGGGTTAGAACCAAGTTAACTGCACTTAACCACAACTACAGCAGTAAGAACAACAAGATCATGTAGGAATTCACTTGGATGGTTGATTGGATGGCAACTGTGCAGGTCAGTGTCAGTTGTTTTCAGATGAAAGTTTCCCACCTTAAGTTCAACACAGCAGTTGTCTAGATTGAAAGCAGGCTTTTATAGCAGTTGCTAACTAATTCTGCCAAGTGCTTGTGTTCACTTAAAAGTGTGTTTGCCATACTAAACCTTCCTTAGTATCCAGTTTTCACTACATTGTTATCTTTTCATGCTGTGTTCCCTAGTTCTTTGTCTACTTACTTAGAATTTTCTTCTTTCATTGCTTGCTAGGGTTTCCTTCTGATTCCTTCGTGTTAAAGTGGTCGTATTTTCTTTGGTCAGGAGAGAATAATAATGTGAAAGAACTTCCTGAAGATAGAAAATTCTAATGGAGGCTCCCCAGTGATGGCTCAGGAGAAAGCCAGCATGCTGGGCCATACTTCCTAATCTATTTATTGATTAAAAGAATTGTAGTAGATTTTGGGTTTCCCTAGACCTGTTATTTAAAAAACAAACAAACATTTAATTCATAATTCACTTTTTGTTTCTTAGCTGAACTGAATTGAGAGTACATTAGGAATGGTTGTCTATAACTGGCTAATCTAAAACAGAAAATATCATTCCGCTCCAGTATTTTTCATCCTCATCTCTTAAAAGATATTGAAAGAATTAAAGAGATGTGATCTGAACTAGGAAAAAAAAGAAAAAAATTTCAGCTGGCTAATGGTTATAAGGAGCTCTGGTAGCGTAGTGGTTACGAATCGGGCTGTGAACCTCAAGGTCAGCAGTTCGAAACTACCAGC